AATTACAACACGCATCTTATTCGTCGCCTAAAAAAATATAGTTTCACAAATTTTCAAGTTCCTAACCTACATATTTTCAGAATAATCGCAAAAAAAACGATTTAAAATTTTAACTTTCAACACCCTGTATTTCCGAAACTATCAACTTTCGGATAAGGCATGTTTGCGCCAATAGTCACCATTTCACGTGTAGTATCTTCAGCTTTCCACTTTCCCATTGTTAATGAATCACCCTGTATAACTTTGACCTGTGTTATGCTTTTTTGTATACATTTTCAACATTAGACGTTGAGCCACAGAGCATGTGCGGTTTCCTTCCGCGGGAGTAAATGTAGCCTATCAATTTAGATTTGTTATGAAAGCAGCATGAATGTTTGGGATGATACTTTGTAAAATTCGGTAGCTTAGTGGCGTTTTCGACCTCACAAAGATGGCCGCCGCGCGAAAATCGTTGTTTACCATTAAAGTCTGGTTTCATTTGAAAGGAGTAAAAGTATCATACAAATTTTGATTTAGCATAAAGCTTGGATCAATGTTTGGGATGATACTGTGTAAAAGTTGGTAGCCTAGTTACGTTACGACGTTACAATAATGGCCGTCTGGCGAAAATCGTAGCATACCATTCTAAGGTCAGGTTTTACTTGTAAGGAGTAAAAGTATCATACAAATATAAATCCAACATAAAGCCAGGATCAATGTTTGGGATGATACTTTGTAAAATTCAGTAGCTTAGTGACGTTATGACGTCACAAACATGGTCGCCGGTCAAATTCCGTTTAGGTGTATAGGCAAAAATTATAATAATACAATATTATATTATTACAATAAGTTAATAATATAACAATGATATAATATAATTATCAATTTGTACATCACGTCTTGTTATTCCAATTTGCCTATATTTAATTTTTCACCATTGCCTATAAAAGTACAGGTACAACCGATGAATGTATCATTCACTGTACCAGCGACAACAGCAGTTTGGTGACTCTATTATCTATCGAATCATGGAAAACTCTCTTGAACGCAGCGACAATAAGGAAACACAAAAGATTGCTGGAAATTACAGTCAGTTACCGAAGAATAATTTCCTGCATTAAAGTACTTCGGTGAAATGTCCCAGCATCTTCACCATGAAATCTAAACTCGCTAGTATTACGGCTATGCAGAAAGCAACATTACCGGATGAACCATCGGTATCTTCTTGCGTAAGGACTCATGATACCAAAATACGCCAAGACCAATTCTACTATTCATCTGCATTTTTTGTGAGAAGGAACAGAAGTACAAGCCAGGAAGTAGAACACGTGAGGAACTAGTGCAATATGTGGAATTGAGATCCAGTGCCACGATCAAAGCCTCTGCTATATCAAAAAATTACAGCAGAATTCTTAGGTGAGCTGAGAGCTGAGACTATATTTTTTGTTTCAGCAGAAGCGAAGTACTACTTTTCATGCTACCAGAAGTGGTACGATGACGGTGGTACTTTAAGTAGGAAATTCTTCTCCGGTAACTGGCTTTGCAATTTCCAGCATTATTTTGTGTTTCCTTATTGTTGCTGCGTTCAAGAGAGTTTTCCATGATTCGGTAAATAATAGAGTCACCAAACTGCTATTGTGGCTGCTACAGTCACTGATACATTCATCAGTTGTACCTGTTATTTATACTTTTTTAGGCAATGGTGAAAAGTCTGCTTCGGAATCTATATATGAAAAAAGAGGGAAAAAATTAAATATAGACAAATTGGAATAACAAGATTGATATTAGTATTGTACAAATTGATTATTATATTATTAAATTATTATAATAATATAATATTGTATTATTATAATTTTTGCCAATATACCTAAACGGAATTTGGCCGTCGACCATGTTTGTGACGTCATACGTCAGTAAGCTACTGAATTTTATAAAGTGTCATCCCAAACATTGATCCTGGCTTTATGGTAAATCTAAATGTTTATGATACTTTTACTCCTTACAAATGAAACCAGACTTTAGAATGGTAAAATACGATTTTCGCCCGGCGGCCATCTTTGTGAGGTCGTACCGCCTCGAAGCTACCGAATTTTACAAAGTATTATCACAAACATTCATGTTGCCTTTATGACGAATCTAAATTAGTAGGTTACATTTACTCCACAGNCGTCGTAACATAACTATGCTACCGATTTTTACACAGTATCATCCCAAACATTGATCCAGGCTTTATGCTAAAGCTAAATCAAAATTTTTATGATACTCCTTACTTCCATGAAACCAGACTTTAGAATGGTAAACCACGACTTTCGCGTGGCGGCCATCTTTGTGAAGTCGTAACGCCACTAAGCTACCGAATTTTACAAAGAATCATCACAAACATTCATGCTGCCTTCATGACGTATCTAAATTAGTAGATTACATTTACTCCCCAGAAAGGAAACCAAACCGTCCAATTTTGACTACTTGGCTCAACGTCTACATGTGCTGATTGCATTTTGATATTATTACGATTGATTTATGTTACTTATTAATGATGAAAAAATAAAAGTATTATTCATAAGTTTGTTATTAACTTTTTTCTCAATTTTCAGTCAGTTAATAAAACAGGTATGTAACTAGACTGAGCCTGGATGGGACCAAAGATAATCCATAACTTTTTAAATGGTCAAGTGTTACAGTTGGACTACTAAATTCAAGTATCCTAATTTTTTAGTCAATATTTACTATTTGCTGCTTGCATGAAATAGCAGTTTTTTGGGTGTGAATTGGCTCGTAATCATCACCATGAATTTTGATACACATTTCTTATTGATACACTATTAATTTAATAAAAAGGTAGAAATGCAAAATGAGAAATAATGGAACTTTAAATAGTACAATAATAGCACAGACCCAAAAAAAAAAAAAATTGAAAATACCAGAGACTAGACCCACCTATCCTTATACTGGCCCAAAAACACGGAAAATCTTCAAATTCTCGCTTGAGCACGGGTCCGAAGGTTGAGATAAAGAGAGAAGATAAGATTTTATATGTATTTTGACGAGCTAAAACCGAATCCTCAAATACATTCCCTGTTTAGAAAATTCAAATTTACCATAAATGTAGCAAGTCATCTTTATTTAAGACATTAAGGAAATGGAATGGCGCGCCGGTACCAAGGACGATGGGAAGTGAATCCGGGCCAGATAGCAGAAAAAGAAAAAGGTATCCACTACACTACGATAAAAAAAGAGAGAATGTTAAGATCCGAGACAATAACACGCGATTTTCCATATTTTTGGGATTATTTTCACAATTTAAAGAAAACTGGAGGGTGATAGAGCAATTTTGGCTCCGGATTCGGTTTTAGCTCGTCAAAATACATATAGAATAGTCTTATTGTGCTGGTTCCCACATTTATCTCAACCTTTGGACCTGTGCTCAAGCGAGAATTTGAAGATTTTCCGTGATTTTGGGATGATTTTCGCGATTTAAAAGAAATTGGAGGGTGATGAAGCAATTTTGGCTCTGGATTCGGTTTTAGCTCGTCAAAATACATATAAAATAGTCTTATTGTGCTGGTTCTCACGTTTATCTCAACCTTCGGACCCGTTGCCAAGCGAGAATTTGAAGATTTTCCGTGATTTTGGGTACTTTTTCGCAATTAAAAAAAAAATTGGAGGGTGATGGAGCAATATTGACTCCGGATTCGGTTTCAGCGCGTCAAAATACATAAGGATAGGTGGGTCTAGTCTCTGGTACTTTCAACTTTTTTTTTTGTGGGTCTGTGTAGTCATCAACTGTTTACCTATTGCGTCAATCTGATACTGTATATATTTTTTTTAAGATAGAAAATGATTTAATGAAAAGAATAAATTTTAACTTACCTTCAACATATGCAAAAGATAGATTAATACATCCAGGATATGTATGTACAGGATCTCCGTTTCTAATAACATGTGACAGGGAGCCACAAATTTGATCCAATAACCTTTGACTTAATTTCTCAATATAATTATGATCATATGCCATTTCTTTTTGTGCAATATCACATGCTTCTCCCAAACCCACAGCAAGAGGTGCAGGTACTGTTCCACTTCTAATACCTCGTTCTTGACCACCACCACTCTGAAGTGCTTCTACTCGCACTCTGGGCCTTCGTCTTACATACAATGCTCCTATTCCTAAAAATATGCAATGCAAGTTCAAACCATTCTAATAATTGATAATTTTTTTAGAAATAATATACAGTTTTAAAATTACTTCTAATTTCAATGGCCGAAATATATTAATGAAACTGTATTATTAAAAGAAACCAGATATAGAAAACTAATAAATATATATATTTTTAAATATCTCATCTGAAAAAGGGCACAAATGTGTTACTGCATAGATAGTGCAACACTGCGTAGTAGTGTTTAAGATCTCGGTAGAGCAGGTACTCTGATAGCTTTTGGAATTAGGAGTATAAGATAAAAGTTTATGTTCTATACCCACTGAGTGATTGTAAATACACAGGGTGTAACTTTAAGTGGGGATCATATTTACACAGAGGCTACCCTTAATCTTTAGAAACACGTATCAACAGTTTATTTTTTCAAATTCCGTCGTGAAAACTTATTTTTTTTAAACCTTTTTTTAATAATTTTCTTACCCCATCGCTGGACAAGTTAGTGTGATCTCAAACAATGACACATGCTAGTTGCAGCGCATGCACTATTGAAAACTGGGCTATACATTGTTACCAAATCTTATACTTTAAATTATTAAAAAGCAAATTTCACATCACCCGTCATGAGGTACTGCTCTTTGGAATAACCTATCTGATATCATCTTGCAGCAGAATCGTTTTCTCCGGACAAAAAGTAGTCTCTAATCGTATCAACTCTTTCTTGAAACTCTTAAAAACTTGAAAACGAATGCACAATACACTGTACCGTCACTCAACACTGAAATAAATGACTTTATAAAGTTATACACTTAACACCACACAAAGGTACTATATAAACACCTTTCACAAAATGACAAAGTCGAATACTAAATAAGAATGTAACAGATAATATATTCGGCCAATCCCGTTTCGCCGAATTAACATGGCAGTTTGCTTTTAACACAATACCTGCAATATTGGCATGTAAACAGAACAGCAGAGGTTATCTTCCCCCGCTTCGAAAGTGAAAAACAGTACTAACTTTAGCAACAATTTTAAAAACTGATTTCATATTAATCAGATCAGTATTTTCATTTATTTTTTATTGTTAGTTCTTTAAAATAATTATTTTAAAACACAAATCAGTTTTATTTACAATTAGTAACGTATCTACATACCAATATTGATTAATACGTAATAAATCATGTAAAAATTTATTTAATGTTCGGCGCTTCGTCCACATTGCCATCAAAAAAATATGGCAACTAAAATAACTTGTCATTGTTATAGAAAAGCAAAATTAAAACAATATGTATTTTTAATGTTGGGCGTAAAATAACAAATCTTTGCCATATTAAAGCAAACTATTTTCACTAAATTATTTTTCATTAGTTTCGCTGTATAGGTTGATTAAAAAAAAATTATTTACAGTTATTAGTAACATATCTACATACCAATATTAGTTAATATTTAATAAATCATGTAAAACTTAATTTATTTTTTTAGAAATACATTTTTTTTTCAAAGTTCGCCTCTTCCACCACAGTGATATCAAAAAAATATGGTGACTTCAAAATAACAAGTCCCTAAATTATGCAAAAACGATATGATTTGCTAAATTATTTTTTAACTTCATACAAGACAGTTGATATAAAAGCAACTGGCAACACCGGCAGTGAGGAATACTACTTTATATGTAAATTCCGGGAGCACTGGTTAACTCCGTTCAGTGACGGCGTACACAACAACAATTAAAGTGCAGTTTAAAAAACTAATTATAACTTCAATATTTATTTGATTAAAAAAAAGGAATTTAAATTTGTATTCCGAGCACCACGTACTATTACCCATAAAAAAATTGATCCTCACTTAAAGTTACACCCTGTATTTACAGCTCAAATGAATAAGTATACAACGAATTGCATTTTATTAAACTGCCACAAGTGTAAGATCTACTTCGTAGTAACAGATTGATTTCTTGATATTATACATATACTGTAAAGCGCGTCATACACTCGAGTTGTGCTGAGAGGTTTAACAGCCAAATTTTGAACATACTTTACTCCACCACAAAGAAGCATGAAAAAGGTAAAAATATTTTGATTACTAATAAAAAATGTGTTGCCCCTTGAGATGTCATTGCTGTATCATGAACTATTAGGTTTAAAGAGTGCCTTCTGCAGAGAACAAAAAAGTTCTTGGATTCAGATTTCATATTCTACTTTGAACATCTGTATATACACGTAGATATTTGAGTCATACCCTTACCCATGCATATTTTCGAGAGATAATTTTAATTTTGTCACTTCTTCCAGAAGAATCATTTGCCTTTTCAACAGGCATAAATCCCACAAAACACAAATTAAACTCAAATTTAGCATGCTCAATCATTTTATTTGAGATACATATCTGATTCTGAAAATCTTATTTGGTATATTCTTTCTAGTGATAGTGGTGATTCTTGTCTTCATTATTTACTGAACGTCTAACATGTTCACTCATCATGGATCAAATTTACAGTTCAACTAACTTCAAAAAGTGACCTTCAGTGAATAATGGATATAATACATCTTAGAACTTCATTCCACTGTTTAGTTTCGGCATCAATTATTCGTTGATTTGTAGAAACAAAACTTGTCAGCTCTTTAAATGTAATGATAGTTCTTCTTAATGTTTCTTAGACACCCCATATTCTTTCAGTATCTGCCCTATCTGATGCTAATTTCCGTTTCCACTTAGACAAAAGAGCTTACAGAACACCATATTTCATAAAAATAAGTGCACATCCATGGGCATCTCGCCTCTTTGCCATTACTCGATCTTCTCCTGCAGTTAAATATGGTATTTTGCGACTGTTTTCATTGAGCAAACAATTAAATATTGTCAAGAAATAAACCATGGCTATGTGCAATTGTTTACTTTACTGGACTATGTAATTTGATAATAGTTTCTTATAGTATATTATTCAACGAGCGTATAATGATGGGTATTATTCACGAGGTGAAGTTTACGGCCACGAGCCGCAGGCGAGTGGCCTAAATCACCGAGTGGATAATAGCCATTATACGGGAGTAGAATACTATACTTTATCCACGACTACTAAATATTTTTGAAGTTTTTTTTTTGTTTTTAGTTCGTTTTTTAACACAATTTAACACAAAATATCAAAACACAGAAATCTATGCACACAAACAATAATGTTGACAGGTTTGAGTCAAATTTGTTTTGTTTTAAAAGCTATTTAGATTTATGAAATATTTCGAAAAACATGGTATGTTAAGGAACAGATATACGAGATGCACAAACGAAGTCGCTGATGGCTCAGTGTAGATGCTCCTTCCCTTCCAACCGCGGGTCCCGGGTTCGAATCTGTTCTGGGAAAATTCACTTTTTTAATTTTTTTTTTTTATATGTACAGCACTGAATTGAAAATATTTAGTGGTTTACACGATAAAATTTTAAAAACCGATTGATTGTAGCAGAACAATATAATATTATAGCTAAATCAAGGAAGCATCTGACAGTAGTGATTAATGACTCATTAATCACTGCCGTGATTAATAGGTATTAATAAGGTCGAGCAGACGTATAATGGGTACATTATACAATAGTCGTGGATAAAAATATTTATAGCACTCTGCTGAAAATTTCCACCCTCTAAAAATTTTTGTATAGTTTTTGTCCCTATTACTCACAAATTTCATATTTGCACTAGACAGAAAATGTACATTTTAAACCTATATCTGCAGAAACATAATTTTTCAAAAATAGGGAATTATCTCCTTACATAAGGGAATTCAATTAGATATAGCATATAAAAAAAATTCTACTAATATACCTACCTTTTGGACCATAAATTTTATGTCCACTAATTGACATGAGATCAATATTCATAGACTGTACATCTAAAGGAATTTTACCAACAGCTTGTGCAGCATCAGTATGGAAAAATACTTTTTTCTGTCTACAAAGTTTACCAATTTCAGCAATTGGTTGTTTAACACCTATTTCATTATTCACTGCCATTATAGATACTAAAGAGGTTTCTGTTGTTATTGCTTTCTCAAGTTCAGTTAATGATATAATACCATTGCTTGCTACAGGTAAATATGTAATTTTAAAACCTTCTGCTTCTAATGCTCTACAAGAATCTAACACACATTTGTGTTCCTGAAAAATAAAATAATTTTTTATACCGATATCTAAATTTTCAAAAGAATCATTTTCTTTGGTGATATACATATACAGGATGTCCCAAAAGTGACACTCGTCCTTCTGGGATTTGATTAAGAGAACAAAAATAAATCGAAAATCAAGAGTGGAAAATTTTCCGATTGTTTTTCTTTATTAACTTATTCAAAAAAATTATTAAAAAAAAAACTAAAAAAGTAGAATCCAATTTTTTTTCCTTAAAACTGAGGCCTGTGCTAATGGGAACCAAGAAAAATTTATAACCAATAGTAGGTAAGTATAGCTTCCGATGGTCGGTTGTACCTGGGTGTAAATAATTACTTTAAACTAAAAAGGATAGAGAAACACATTTTAATAACAAAACAATTTTATAAAAAGGAGAGGAGAAAACTTATAATCTAAAAAACGTAATGTGCTTAAATAATAGAAATTATTTTTACAAAAGGTGTTCAAATAAGTTGTTTTATACTTCAAGACAAAGATTGGCATGATTCAACATTGAAGCACGAACCCTTTGTAGCATCTCTTGATCTATTAACGCGATAGCGTGCATATGGGCAATTTCTAGATTTACAACAGGTTTACTATAAATCTTTTCTTTTAAATAATCCTCAACAAAAAAAATCTAGGGCATTCAGATCTGGTGAACTAGGTCATGCTAAGGGTCCACCTCTTCCAATCCATCTGCCTGGGAAGTTTGGATTCACATAATTTCTTACTTGTAAAATAATGTGACGGAGCTCCATCAAGTTGAAACCAATAGTTTAGTCTCTTAACCAGTTTTCAGATGGGCGGGCAAAATATTTATTCTCTCATGTAACTGAATATCTTATAGGAATAATTAGTTAATAGTTAGTCTATTTACTTTTGAAAGTGTAACAAACTTAATGATTATGAAATTAGTTAATACAAATATACCTGCAAATTATATTAGTTATTTCAAAACTATAATAGTTCAGCAAGAACAAATGAGAATGTCAGAGTGATTACCGGGATAGGGGACAAAGCAAAATAAATAAATAATCATATCAATAAGACGCTTTACAATGTCTCTATTTTCGTCCATAATTTATTATGTTTCAAAATATTCTCACTAAATGCGGAATCAAGAAAAGTTTGAATGTTTTCTTTTCCTAATAATTTAAATTTTAATTATGAATATATATGCTCCTCCGATCACTCGTGTTTCTTTAAAGATTCATTAATATATTTCAGATCTGAATATCCGAGATAATTCCACGGAGTTTTACTTTTTTCATTAAACAGTAAGCATTATAATTATATACATTATAATTTGTTTTTGGTTTCACTACCTGTTAACCACTCATATTTACTGGACCAATTTTTACTAAATGATCTGTTGCTTTCGCAATTTCTTCTACTTCTTTCTTTCTTTATTTATGAAATTTTTCATGTTAAGCGTAGATCTTAATTATGAAATAAATAATTTATCATCAAAAGTTAACGTACCAAATTTTTTATCTAATATTCACAATATCACCATTGCTACTCACCTATTTGCGAATTTCACTTGCCACTTTGTTTTACTCCTAACTGTTAAACAATATAAATGAACCTAAACCACTACTATTAACCCTAACCTAGAACTTACAACTAAGTCATAAGGCACAAGGAATAAAATATAAACAAACAACAAACCACAGATTATACGCAAGAGTCCGAGGAATATACGAGTGAAGCCGAAGGGCTTGTCCGGTATCGTAGGGTTATTTTATGTATACTCAAATGATAATTTATTAAAAATCTAATTGAAATTCAAAAAATGTAATAAATAGTTTCTTTATTATTTGAAAAAATAAATAAATATTGGATTTAAAAGTCCTAAACATAATTTACTTCACTTCCATATTTACAAACTCGAATCTATTAAAAATTTCTCCGCAATCACCCTTAATTCAGTTTAACAGTAACAAGTTAAAAAACCTTAATAACTATAATTATCACTATCAAATAACATTCAACATAGCATCATAGATATTTATTTTTAACTTAATTTACAAATTATTATAAAACGATTTTTTTTTCGTTTACTAAAATTAGTTTTCTGGAATACCTTTGCAGGGAAAAATTATTCTAATGTTTAAAAATTCATTTAAAGAACAAAATTACAGCAAATAAATATATAAATATTTCCAACCGCTGGGGAAAAGCTTGTTTCGATAGGGATATGAGGGCTCGCCTGGCTTGGGCCAATTATTCTAAATTAGTGAACGACTTACGTTTTCGATTACTCTCTAGCCCTAGGTACTCATAAGCAGGCAAGGAAGCGGTCACGGCCTAGCCCCAATGTTATGTTGGTGGCTGCCGAGATAACGATTAAATTATAAATTTTAAAAATTAGGTAGCGGACGTTTCAAAGAAGGTAATGTATTTTAGATTTAATTTTATAAGAATAAGGTCAAATCATTTATGTATATCTATCAGTGGCGGCTCGTGAAAGAGGACTCTGGCACTCCGCCCCCCCAGATATTTTCAAACTGTAAACTTAAAATAATTTATTCATTTAACACGTTGACTGCGAGATAATCTCAATGTACTTTGTCCGTGACTGCGATACATATCTTCGGGGATATGTAACAAAACTTCTTCTGTGTGCGGTACATATCCCTGAGGATATGTAATTTTTTTTACATTTGACCCTATAAAATTAAAAATAACACAATTATTGCTATAAACTTGCATGTATCTGTAACTATATATCCTAGGATAATAACGTTTTCATTCGCAAAGAGTTTTGAAAAGAAAATAATAGAAAATTCATTATTTCTAAAAACTACAGATTCTGCAACTTCCACAAGATACAGTAAAAATGTGATTATTGAGATCCGCATATTTTTTATAATGAGTACATACCTCCCGGGGTATGTACCGCAGTCAACGTGTTAAATCAATAAAAAATCTAAATAGCACGCATTCAATTTGTCTTGGATGCCTAGGTTGGTTGCATAAAGTGCATGTACTCCGTGAACGTAGTTCAGATTAATGCGTTCTGCCATCTATGATCGTACCAAAGAGTTATGTTTGACAGCGTGCGCAATCCCCACTCCATCGCGGTCGGTGAAATCTTAGTCCATCGTGCAAGTATATTTTTACATATGATTGGACAAATTGGCACGTGGAGGGTGTAGGCGACGATAGACTCGCACGCTTTGTTTTGGACTCCACTTCAGTGATACGGGTTATCACTGAAGTGTGGTTATACGTGTTTTGTTTTTGCTTTGGCGCTTTTTAAGACATTATAATTTATAAGTTTAAGTTTAAAATGAGGGTTTGTGAAATAAAAAAACTTGTTATTAGTAAATTAAGTTTAGAGGAAAAATTCAAATTGAAAAATAACGGACGTCCAATGCCAGTGTTGAATTTAGTTCAGGTGCAGGAAGAGTGCAAAAGTAGGCCGGCTTTCATTCGCAAATTTGATAAAACATTTATGATAAAACCGTGTGGTTGTGACGAAACAAATAGATTTTTTTTTTTGTATGTTTATTGTTTGGAGGAGGTAAAGAAAACTGGATGAAAACTGCAGTTTCTGACTTGAAACATTTACCGGGCGAAATTAAGAAACATGAAAATTCTCCTAAACAAAAAATAACTTGGTGAGTTTTTTACTTTTAGAAAGAGTAAATATTGCTTCTTGTTTAAGTAGTGCTTATGCAGAACAAATAAATAGTCATAACGAAACGGTTAAGAAAAATCGATTACTTCTTTCAAAAATTATAGATATCTTAAAACTATGTGGTACATGTAACCTTCCTCTTCGTGGACATAATGAAAAAAGCGACTCGGTAAACAAAGGGCAATTTTTAGAACTGATAGACTATAATGCAAAAATTGATCCCGTTTTAGATAAACATCTTAGTGATGCCCATGTTTACCCCCTACACACTGATGGTATTTATTTTGGGGTATGTACTTGTAAAACACAATGATCTTGAAATTCCTCAAAATTTTTCACCGCAGCTCCTATCATATACGTTCTCTCTTCAAAATGCGCCCCCCCTATAGTCAAACCCACGGGCCGCCACTGATATCTATACAAATTTTTTTTATTATTCTGACATTCAGGGTGGGCATGAAACGAAATGTCATCCAGCAATGGCAATGGTAAGTTTTCATTTATAAATGCTAGATACAGCTCTGAATTAAGACGATTGGGCAGAATTTATGGATCAACTACTTAATTATTTAATAGCCCAGACCAAATGTTTATTGACCATCGTCTTGGATTAAATGATGAAATGTGGATTACAATTAACATAGTCCAACAACCACCTGCAAAAATTTCTGCATCAACCAATTCAAGAATATGTTCTTCTTGATCGACATTTATCCCATGAGGACTTGTAACTAGTTTTTTTTGCAGATTTAAATTACCTGTTTCCAGTAGTCGTTGCTCAACGTGTCTTATAGTTTTTGCATCGGGAACATTTCCTCCCATGCTCCTGCTCAGATTTGAGACAAAAACAATTGGATGTTCACTTTTTTAGTTTTTTGAATACCTACCTCAACATAGAAAAACAATTGGAAAATTTTCCACTCTCGATTTTCGATTTGCTTTTGTCCCCTGAATGAAATACCAGAAGGACGGACGTCACTTTTGGGACACCCTGTATGGGTATTTGAATGATAGAACCTATTGTGTATTTTTGCATAACATAATCAAAAAATATATATATGAAAAACACGAGGAAGAACTATATATTTTAATCAATTTAAAAAAAAAAAAGAAAATTGGAAAACAACCCTATTCTAGAAAACCTACGAAAGTTACAGCAAAAATACTCGAGAGTACTAAAGCATCCACACTGATGTGAAATCAGCACTTGTGAAAGAACAGTTTACTGAATTGCGTAAATGGATACAACAGAACATACTTACCGTTTGTGTCGTTATAACATGTTTTTTCTTTACACTGTAAAACCTGGCCACCCCTTTTATTGCAATGTTATTACACTCTGTTGCCCCTGATGTAAAAACTATTTCTTTTGGATCTGCTCCTATTAAGTTTGCAACTTGTTTTCTTGCTTTTTCAACTGCCACTTCAGTTTCCCATCCATAAGCATGAGTTCTAGAATGTGGGTTGCCATAATAATTAGTTAAATAAGGCAACATAGCATCTAAAACTCTAGGATCCTAAAAATAAAAGAAAAAACAAAGTTTAATACTAACTTCTAGGAATCATCAATTGTGATGGGGTGTCCTGGGTCTTAGTGACTACTATTACGAGTATAATGTTAATACTTATTGCTTAATATTAGCACATTATTTTTTACTAATTTTTTTTTTTAATGAATATTCATTTACAGGTAGTGATTTTCTTCTCATCTCTAGTCAGTTACATGTAGGTATTATGCGATACCATTCCTCCTACGTATGAGTAAATTATTTTTTTTTAATCTTTCATTTGTTCGAAGTTCAAATTGTACAGGATCCCCTGCATTACATACTTCTACTTACCAAAGGTGTGGTGGCTTGAGCATCCAAATACAGAGGTCTTCCTTCAAATACTTCTTTAATCCTATATTTTTCATCTGAAAAACGAAAACGTTAAAAAATAGAAAACTCACTGTAGAATTAACCTCCAAAACTTACCGGTATTCAATTGTCTTTTAATGATGGATCCTGAAATTCTTTTATTACTAAAATTTAGCGAAAATATATTTTGAATCTTTAATAGATGTCGATACATAATGCCACTGACAATTATTTTGAGTATTTACTAATACCACAAAGTATAAACATGCAGGGTTGCCAGATTTTTTTTTAACCTAGTAGCCAAACCAAAATTGAAAGTAGCCCAAAATAGCCTGACATCTAGTAACAAAAACCGTTATTTATACTTTTATACATTTGAAGTTAAAACCCATGGAGACTATAGGCTTTTTTTCGCGAGTGAAGTCGTATGTTGTAGTATGTGTAGTATGAGTGAATATTACGTTTTTGCGAGAATAGTCAGTCATTTAAACTACTATGTGACGTTACAAGTTTAGATCAAATGACTGAACTCTTCACCCTTCAGCTGAATATTCTGTTGGTATATTCAACTAGTATTGTCAGCCGGTAACTTAACCTTTTTCTTTTTGACATTTTGTTTGAATGAGGATAAAAATCGTTCAGCAAAATGATGGATTCTGATACGGCTGTGGAAGTGGTCAGTTTAAATTTAAACTTTAGAGGCACAGATGTTTTAGTAAACGTAGACGTTGAAACAGCAAATATTTTACTTAATGGTAAGATTAATTTTTTATATGGGACATATTTGCGATCCACTTTGCTTCAGGATTATCCTCTTTTTTTTGTGACCTAG